TCGCCGCGTTCGAGATGGCGCGCCCCGAAGCCGATTCGGCAGGCCTTGCTATTCCGAACTTCCAATTATTCACAACAGCGCCCTTCAGGGCGCAAGCGGCTCGGCCCCGGCAGGGCCGCCCACTTGCTTCAGCCCTTTCATGGCCAGTCGCGGCGGACTCAGCGGCAACGCGATGAGCTGCTGGATCGCACGCGCAGCTATGGCCAACTGGATGAGCGCGCCCCCGGCAACATCGGCAACGCGCTGCTGGGATCCACGGGGCGCTGAAACGCCAATACCCGCATGGCGCGCGCCGGCGGAGGCGGAGTCGCGGCCGCGCCCGTGAACGCACGGGCCGATGACCCTCATCGCCCAGAGGAGTCTCCAGCAACATTGACCACAACCCCGCACTGCCCAACATCATCCTCAAAGCAAAATTGGGGGCGGCCTTCTAACCCCGCATCCGACGCTGCCCCTGAAAGCCAAACCACCCCATGGGGCTCAGCCTCCAACGGGAACTCGCCTTTCGACTCCGGCACGGATGTTGGCGCGCTATCATCTGGCGGAAACGAACACCTAGATATGTCGGACTTACCCCGCGGACTCGGTCATGCGGAGATCGTTGGATCTTTATTGCTGGGACATCAACGCGCGAGGCGTAGGTGGAGCAGGTTCATTAAGACACCTGCGCGACGCGTCTGTAGAGCAGTCCGAAGGGCATCTCACCGACGTTGACTAGGGCGAGGTAAGGGTGGTCACCGGAACCGACGGGCGCGTGACAATGGGCTCGCAATGCTCGCGGCCATTACGGGTGCTGGCCACGACGAAATCTCCTTGGAAAGGTCCGGGGCCTCTTGGCTAAGCAAAGCCTCTTTCTCCGCCCGCAACCCTCCGAGGCCCTGTGTAGCGATATTAGCGAGCACGTAGATAAGCCCGCATGTGCGGCGAAAGTCATTGCTTAAGTCCCACGTTACTTCCCTCGAGAAAAGTTTAAGAGGCCGCCTAGGGAACAGCGGCGCAGATTCCTCAGGGCTGGAGGCTGGCACGCTTGGGGCGCCTTAGAAAACTGCCAGGCCAGGTGTTTGAGATGTTTGCAGTTCTGGGGCGACACTGGAACTCGCCCTATGCTCGGTTGCAACGGTCCCTCCAGGACGTGGCAAGGTGTGTTGGACATCTCCAAGGGGCGCGTTTTGTCCCGCACTCGCGTGCCCCGAGGAGATGAAGTTTCGACGCTGTTCCTCTGTGCGACGCGCGGGGCCTATGCGGCGCGCCGGTGCCTGAAGCTCGGTCAGGAATGTCTTGGCCGCAAACTTCCCGGGGCTAAGATTGCGTTGCCAGGAATTCTGTCAGGCCTCCATCCTCATTATAGGAACGAGGATGAGAGGACGTCCCGCTCGTCTAGGCGGGGCGCGAATTTATCATGCCATGCTGCGCAGACGCCTCCACCTGTTGATGTGTCCAGGCCCGCGTCGTCGCAGCTGCGCTCAGGCCTCTGCGCCCCCCCTCAGAACGAGAGGATGGCGGCTTTGCCTGCGAGAGTGCAGGCCCGTGCAGCGGCGTCGACGGATGCCAGCGCGGGCTAAGGCAATTTGCAGCGCCTCATCTGCGGCTAAACTGTTGCCGCCTCTGCCGGCCCTTCAGTCTCAAGCTAAACGTTTCTGTTCGGGCCAGATCGAGTCTAGCGTTTTGCCCCTGGCAAGCGCACTCCGCGCGCGGGCGCGCAGGGCCGCAGGCACTGCTGGCTCTCATGTCTCAAGCTCAACGTTGCTGACTGGTTCCGCCTCCTCGGCCTGCAGGGGGGCAGGGACCTTCGCCGCGCCAGTGGCAATGGAGTGGGTCGTCAACTCAACCCCGTGGACCGAAACGGGAAGAGAGTGCTGTGCAATCGTTGCGGCTGCGATAGCATTTTCAAAATCAGCGCGATGCGAAGGGGAATGGGAAGGGCGGCGGCGCTGCCCTTTTGACGGCTTAAGAGACCGTCGAGGACGTAGAGTACGTCGACTGGCCGGCGCCCGAACTCCCCTTCCGCGGGGCCGCTCCTCGCGCGCACCTTCCGGCGCGAGGCAATAAGCTGGGCGCTGACATACCTCGCCCCCGACCTCCCGAACGGAGACACTGGGCGGGGGCGCGCTGTCCTGCGACTGGGGCATCTCCGAAGTCGAGACCATTGCCGCTGCGGAGGGGCCGCCACGCGCCGCAGGCTTGCCCGGCCCAGTCAATTTCCAGGCGGAAGCGCCCATGAACGAAGAAGCGGACGCGCCCATGGTCCTTACCAGTACGCTGAGGCATTTGGCTTCGCCAACGATGGTGCAGCGTGATCAGGTCAATCTTGCGCTTCGGGGCACTGACCATTTGCCGACGGAGACCCTCGAAGTCCTGAGAGGCGGTTTCGATCGACAAGTGGTCGGCGGGGTCGCAATCGAAGCTAGGGCCCTCTCGATCGAGGCCCCAGTCATCCCGCGACAAAGGTCTTCACCTGCCCCCCCCCCCGCAGCTCCCAGGCATCGCTATAGATCGAGACATGCAAAAGAGGCAGGGGGAGATCTGCAAGCAAAGCGAGCGCCCTTCCGCTTCGGCCCGAATCGACACCAGGCCGCCCGCCTGGAGGCTGCCATCGCCGCCGCAGTCCTGCGCCCATTCCGACATTCTGAAGTTTCATCGAGCATTCGAGTCTTAAGCCGACGCAGGCAACGACGCTGTTCGCGCTGGAGATCCGACGGCAGTTTCTTCAACCCCGCCTCCACCTTCCCAATGTCCTCCTCTTCCGTAGTTCCTAACTGCCGCCCCCGAAGTTCAACCCGACGACGCAGTGAGTCACGACGATGCCGACGCTCCATCGGTCGTTCGGGTCGAATAAAGTTGTCCCTGTACAGCGTGCTTCTCGCCTGCATGTGTCAGAAAGGCCTCCAAACAGTCAAAGGTAGCATCTGGAGGCGCATGGTTTCGCAGGACTATGGTACCAACCGTCGACGCAGAAACATTCTTACCCCGAATACGTCCCACTCCCCGTCCCACTTCAAATGCTCTCCATCATCACATGTTGGTTCTATCTTCGACGGTCATCGGGAGCGCGCAGTGGCCCTCCTTTTTTTATGTAAAGCGAAGGCAAAGCGTGACAAGAAGGTGGCCGCGCGGGGGCGCACCCCTCATCGGCTGGAACTTGTCCCCCCATTGTCTGAGGAGGTGGCACGGAATCGCCTGATCTACAAACCCGGGAGGGAGTCACACATAACCGGTTAACCTATTTATGTTGGCAGACAACATGTGGCGTCGCTCCAGAAACCCGCGAACACTTTCGCCAGCACCTCCAGGGAGTTCTTTCAGAGCGGAGCTCCCGACAGCGCTAGTCTCCGCATCCTGAACCGAGCCGCTGTGCATCCTCCCCCCAAGCCGTCGTCCACGCCGGCATACATGAAACGCACGCACCGCATAGGGAGGCTCCCCACGACGAAATCCAACCAGCAGTTGAGAACCTCCACCGTCCGATAGTACCCCGCACGCTTCGTCTTCCGAGGCTTGGACGGAAGAGGCGGGCAGTCGAGGCAGTTGGCACACAGATCAGCATGACCGCGTCTATCCAGAACGGCGAGGGCCCGTCCCGGGGCCAACGCAGGACTGCCCCAGATCTGCTTTGCATCGTCGTCCCGAAAATGAGGTCCGAAGGCCACCAGGATCCCGCAGGCATTGTTAGTGTATGGGCCTTCGGCTTCGGGAGCCTCGTATTGCCGCCTCCCGCCCGCCCGCCGCCGCGGTGCCTGCGCGCGGAGGGGCGTGCTCGACTTCCGCCAACATGAGCACGTCATGATTTTTGGTCTCGCCCAGGATCTCCGAACGCCGGTCCCCCGTGGACCACATGGGATTGCAACAGAACATTCGAAGCGAAAGTTCGGACATGAACCCCCACCAGCAGAGGACTCGCGGCCATGGGATGGGCAAACCGAGGGCATTGTGTTTCTGCCCGACAAGCCCGTGGGCTTTGGAGGAGGAAGAGGAGGAGGAGGAGGAGGAGGAGGAGGAGGAGGAGGAGGAGGAAGAGGAGGAGGAGGAAAAGGATGATGAAGAGGAGGAGGAGGAGGGGGGGAGGAGGAAGAAAAAGGAGGTGGAGGAAGAGGAGAGGACCAGTTCAAGCCCAAGGCTCTCACCAACGATGTTGCAGTAAACTACCCTTTTGAAGGGCCCCATACAAGAATCCGTTCACTGAGTAAAGTGCCCTGTTGAAAGACACATGTCTTAGAATCCCCAACTGCGACGGGAAGATTTTTCCTTGGACGTCAACGCCGCGAATCACCCTTACTGTTGCATCTTGACGATCCAAAATCGTGCCAGAACACCACTCCTGGGACTTCATCACCGCGAGCCACAGTATCCTGACATTACGGCATCGTGCCGACACACCTTTCCTGGGACGCTAACCATGGGAAGATTCGAACATATCGCACATTCGTCTAATGATTGCGCGCGGCGCCACAGCGAGGCCATCCGTGAAACGCGTGCAAGTGTTGAATACGCGGCTGTGCGGTGCTAAAGGCGAGAGCCATATCTTGAAAACGACCCGCCCACCATCCGCGTGAAATTCTTGCAAGTTGTTTAAAACGTCAGTGCGCAGCGCTACGGCGAAAATGGCATGTTGAAAAGCGCCCGCCCTCCATCCGTGAATCTCTTACAAATTCAGCTTAAGGATCATACATGGTCAGGAGGTATCAGGCGAAACGCCTGGCCCGCCGTACCTACACGCCTCAGGGTGCGACAGGGAGGAGCTACATGTAAGGAAACGGAATCGGGGGAGAAGGAAGAGGAGGAGAGGGAGAAAGGAGCAGCGATAATGAGAGCGGAGTGGGAGGAGCAAGACAGGAATAGGAGAAGGGGGAGGAGAGAGAATGAGCAAGACGAGGCAGGATGGAGGAGGGAGGAGGGAAAAGAAGAGCAGAAGAGGGGAGAAGAGGAGAGAGCAAGGGAGGAAGGAAGAGGGAGGCAGGGAGGAGGGCAGGAGAAGGAGATCAAAGGAGGACCCCCCTAGCGAGGAACTCTACGGCCAGTGGTCGGTGCGCGATTTCCTGCGGCGGGCCCCCTCTGGGGCCGAGGACTTGCTGCACGACGTAGCGCTGCTGGACAGGAACCCGGGCCGCGGGCTTCCATATTCAAGGGTATCGATCTTTCTCCAGTCGTCGTCGTAGTCGTCCACGTCGTCGTCGTCGTAGTCGTCGTCGTCGTCGTCGTCGTCGTCGTCGTCGTCGTCGCCGCCCCCCTCTTCAGAATCGGCAGCAGCGGTCGCAAGGCCTTCGCAATATCCCGAAGCGCTGGTCCACCACATCCTCCAGGCTCGATCCGTTTTCCGGGAAAAAAAGGGCTTGCGCAGCCAGATGCTCAAGTTTTCTCGCTTAATTCGGGGCGGAGGACAGAGACGATAACAAAGGGGAGTTTGGCGAATCAGCTCACGTAGCTGAATTTTCTAGCGCCTCCCGTCCCCACGGGAGGGGGGTGCCTTGGGCCCGTCGTTGGTTGATACGGCGAGAGGGCCCAGAGGCGGAGATGGAGAAGCCGAGCTGGCGGCAGGGCGCGGGATGGGGCACGGGGGACGTGAGGTGGGGCGGGCTCTTTGCCCAACGCCCCGGGCCCGAGGGCCTCCCCGGTGAAGAAAACAAGAGATGGCGGGCCCGCTTTTATCTCCCTGGCAGGAGGGGTTCTGAGGGCCCCAGGACTGGTGGTGGAGAGGCGAACACGCCGCGGGCCAGGGCGGGGGATCAGGGAGGAGTCCGTTGGTGCGCACCCGACGGGGGAAGGCAGCGCTAGCGGGAGTCAGCCAAACCTCCTTGACCCCGCGCGGTTGGCCCAGGTTTGGGGGCCGCACGGCGGCAGCCCCTCCTCCCATGCTTCCGCCGACCTGGGGGGTTCGCGAGATGGTCTTGGCTGCCTTGGGTGTCAACGCCTTGACGATCGCGTCCCCGGTGGGAAATTGGGGGTCCGAGGGAGGAACGAGTTCAGGTCCTCTTCCTCATCCTAGGACAAAGCACGCCCATGCACGACGAAGGAAAAGGGCAGCACCGCATTTGGATTACACTTGCCCGTGCTCACAAACAGGCGCATGCATATTGCAGTTGCTGGTGGCATCCGCTGCCGCCTCCGCGCGTTGAGGAAGCCCGCTTTCTCCTGAGAGAATGTGGCAACAGTGTTCGAGTGCTCTGCCCGATGAGTGAGGAAGTTGCTTGCGTTGACGTAGTTTCGAAGCGCTTGCGGGCAACTTTCATCTCAAGTAAGTTCCCTTTTTTGCAGATACAGCGACACTCCCATCCAGACATTGTACGACGCGCTCCCCGATACCCCCCAGAGCGCAAGGAAACCCAAGTTACACACGACTGTCTGCTGAGAAAATAGCAGTATGCAAGTTGGCCCAGTTGGAATGTGCCGTCTCAGACGAGCGTGCGGAAACCATTTGTACAGAAATGAACCCCCCTGGGGACGGTGGCTTAAACAATGGGCAACCAGTTGAACAGTTGCGTTTGCGAGTGCGTTGTTTCAAACATCGGTGACGAATGTGCACAGGTCCGTCCTGGAACACAACCATCCGAAACCATGCAGATGAAGGACAACACAGCACGCCACGTATCGAACATGTTTCTGGGCGGAGAATTTCCATCATCAAGACTTGCATAAAGTGGGCGCCGAGTTCTCCGATGCGCACCCAATGTTGGAAGGTGGCCCTTCGCCGGCCTGACATGGCAAATGTATGTTATGCGTGTGTTATGGATGCAGCGACGATATTCTCCAGTTGGGCGCACGGCAGCAAACTATACGTCGATTCGTGGAGGAGTTGGACATGGCTTCGGCAGTTTAAGAGAAGCACAGCAGCAGAAACGGCACAAGTTTCTAGCGGATGCGATTATCAACAGTTAGCGACGTTGCGAAGACTTGTTTGGCAGTCGTCACGGGGCAGCGTTCGGCAATCGCCGCCCCATTTTGGGGCCTGCCCTTGCCTGCACACGGCCGCGCCCTGTTGATATGTTCCGTTGGCGCGCAAATCTCGTCGCGTTTTCGGCGCGACCGCGTCGAACATATCTTGGGGCGTTGCTCCTTGCCGGAACGAATTGCGTTCCTGAGCGATGCAAGATTGGTGATCAGCTTTTCGCCCTCGCGACGCTTCAAGAAGGAGGCATGGGCGTGGCCAGTCCCCGCGCAGCCCGCAAGGCCAGCCTGCAAGACGACGTTCGACACAATGTCTTCATGAGGCGCTGCGGGCAGCGGCGCCCTCGCAAGGCGCGCCCTCAGACCGCGTCGCGCTAATCTCGACTGCGCTCTGTTCTCAGTCGGCAAACATGCGGGCGCGGAGAGGGGCAGTTGCAAATTCTCACCGTGGATCACAAGGCGACCCGTTCAGCTCTCGGCCGTTTCAATTGCTTGTCGGCTGGGGAATTCGCTGCATTATTGGTGAACAGCTCATGTTCGGGAAACTACTGGATGCGATTTGGTTTCGTCGACAGTTCGCGTTTGCCTTGCTCGCGGCGCGCCGACGATGCGGCATTGGTTGTGACTCGTTGTGACGAGTGCCCAAATGGGGGGGGGGGGGGGGGGGGGCGCTCGGGAAGTTGCAGGGCGCGCTAGTCGTGCAGCGCGACCGCAGCAGACCGGCACGCCGCGCAACATGGGCCCCCGACGCCCGAAAATAATTCGGCGAATTTGGGCGCGCGCCCAAGTCGTTTCGGCGCGCCGCGCGTTCCAGCCACTCAAAGGCGCGCCCGCAATGTGACGCGGACGCGTTACATGGGCGACGATTGTTGCATAGGGGCGGCTTGCGAAGTCATTCCGGCGCCAGACGCTGCGCGCGGTCTCGGGATCGCGCGGGGGAGACAGTTAGCGGGCAACGGCAAGGGGAAGGGGATACACTTCCGGATTGCAGTCGCGCTCGGGGGGGAGGGGGGCGGCGGGTTGGATCCGCTGCGCGCCGCGCAGACTCATTTTTCAGCGGCGCTGGCGGTCGCAGAGCGCGCTCGGAACCAGGCGGGGAAGGCGCGACGCGGGGCGCGCCCGGCGCGCGGGTGGAAGAGCGGAGGCGGGCGCAGAAAAGGGGCACAAGAAAGCGGAACGCGCGAAGGGAACAGCCAATATTTGCGCGCCGCCAGCGGCCGGGGGCAGCCAGCGCAGGCGCCGTTCGTCTGCGACGCACGGCGCAGTTGCCCGCGAGGGAGGGCAGAGGGCCAGAAGGCCGCTGAAACTGCTGCCCTGGGGCCGAAAACTGCGACCCAAACTGGCCGCCGCCTGGGGCGCCTGCGCCGCGCCCGAAGAGGGGCAGCGGGCGGCTACGGGGGCGGAGCGGTCACTGCGAGCAGTCAGCCTCCAGGATTCCGCTGGCGCAGCGGCGCCAGAGCCAGCGGGCGCCCTGAGCCACGCAGCGGGCGCGGCGCGGGCGGCGACAGCAGCGGCTGCGGAAGGGCACAGGAAACCAGCAGGGGGCACTTCTGGAGAGCATAGTGTTGCGCCGCGCCAAGGCGCTGCGAGCGGCGCGGGCCCCGGGAGATTGACGCCGGGCGCCCGCGGTGGCTCGGCGGCGGCCGCCGCGGCTGCAGGGGTTTGGGGGGAGGGGGCAAGCGAAGGGGGTGGGGGGGGCCCGGCGCGGGCGGCGCGACGGGGCGCGACGGGGCCGAGGGGCAGCCCCCACAGGGAAGGCTCGCCCAAGAGCGGGCGGGCAGCTAGGTTCCCAGATCATGGGAATCAGGATGCGACGAAGCTGGCGCTAGAACCAGGTGGCCAGCGCGCGCGGGGGCCGCAGCTTCACGCCATGGCCCGCCTGGAGAGGCGGAGGGGGGGCGGGCGAAGGAGCAGCGGTTCTCACGGCTGCCAGCTCGGCGTTGCGCGGGGAGAGGCGGCGCTGAGAGCCCAGGGCAGCTAACGGCTTCAAGACGCGCGTTTGCGGCGTCTCGCCGCTGGCGCAGCCTGGAGAGGCCGCCGAAGGGCGCCGCGGCAACTGGAGCTGTCATGTGGGGGGCGGCCCGTGGCAGACCCAGCTTGCGGCGCGAGCGCTAGGCCGGGGCAGGCGCGGGGGCGCCCGCGCAGCTAGCGTCGCGGCGCAGGCCAGGGGCCTGAAGCCAGGTTGCTCGCGGCGCGCCCGTCCATCGGCCGCTTCCCGCCGGCCTTGCCAGCTGGACCAATTAACCTGCCTGCCCTGGCCGCTTTCGCTTCAGCCTCGGGCGCGGGGCGCGCGGCTGCCACGTTCGCATGCGCCCCCAACCGCTTCGCGCGCCGTCGGCGGCCGCGCGGCCCAGGAAGTCCGCGCAGAACAGCTGGCCTCCAGGGGCGCGGTCGGCTTCGCAGGTCATCCCACGGATCCAATTCGTGTCCGCGTAGTCTTCGCAGAGTGCGCGTCGCAGCATGCGTTCCAGCCGCTGCGGGACATGCCGCCGAGCTCACTGCAGTTCCCGCGTTTGGCGGCGTTCCCTACGTTTTGTGCCGCTCGATGCTGCGTGCGGGGGCGCTGTGCAGGGGTCGCGTGTCCTGCTCTTCATGTCTGGGCCGCCGCTCCCATGATCTGCCCTTGGGGCAGGCGGGTCGCGGTCGCGTCGCGCTCAATGCATTTGCTGTCTCGGCGGCCGCCAGATCAGCTGGCCCCTCATGCCGAGCCCCCCCTGGCCTTCCTTCTGCATGTCCCAGTCGACTCGCTCCTGGGCAGCGCGCCTGTCCGGGCGCCGGCGAGGGGCGGCGGCGGCGCCACTGACAAGCTCGGCGCTCGCGCCGCGGGGCGGGCGGCGCAGCGGCGCAGCGGCGACGTCGTTGGCACGGCGGCGCTGGGTCGTGCACCAGCGTCCTGTGGGGGGGGGCGCCGTCCTCGGCGTCGAGCGGGTCGCGGTCGTCCTCGGCCTCGCCCCAGGCGGCCCGGCCCGCCGCCTAGCCGGTGGCCGCTTGGCCACGGCGAGGGAGCAGCGTCGGCGACTCGCTCGGGCCGGGCTCGACTGTTACCCCAGGTCGCGCGCCCTGCCGCGCGACGCTCGGGGCAGCCGATGGGGCGCCCGCGCCGGGCTCGGCACCAGCGTCGAGCTCGCCGCCAGGAGCGTCGTCCGCAGACTAGGCGGGGCCCGTGGGCGACGCTGCGCGCGCGGCGCTAACTTCCACGGGCTGGCCCAGCACCTGGTCGTCGCGGTCGGCGGCGGGGCCGTCGTCGAGCCGCGCGTCGGCTAGGCCGACACGAGGGGCACCCCCAGGGGCGGCGGGGCTCGCATCTGCCTCGCTGACTGGCGCAGTCAAGGATTGGAGCCCCTGCAACCAGGGGCCGTGCAGGTCCGCAGCGGCGGCGCGGGCCAGGAAGGCTTCCAGAATGGCCATGTCGTGCCGCGCAGGGCCAGAGCCTCGCAGCGTCTGATTCTCCATGGGGAAAGCGGCTTGTTCCTTCTAAATGCCCGCCTGGCCCCGTAAGTAGGCAAGGGTCCCAGCGAGGGTTGTGCGCCCGCCGTCCCTGGCGATGCTCTCTGGCAGCCCAGGGTCCAGCATCCTGCTTCCACTCGTGCGTTCCAAAAACTGGGCCACCTGGTCAGCCTGCCAGCCTGCTGGATTGTGGTTTCGAAATTTCATACATCATTATGATCAGCGGGCGGGTTCTCAGATATTTTGAAAAGCGGAATGGCCACAGAACGCGTGCAATGGCGCCCGGGAGAAGTGGGTTCACAACGTTCACAGTTCTGGCATGTGCAATTCGATGCCCACGCGGGCAAAATAATTGTTGGACTTGATATTTCTGGAAGATGACGGCCCCGCCGCCAACCACCTTGGGAAGCGGTGCGGACGCACGGGGAGGCATCGGCGCTTGCCTCGCCTCGCCTCAATCCCTTGCCCCGAAGAGCAACCCAGCCTCGCGAGCGCACGACCAAATTCTTCGGACGGGTGGCCCAGGCCTTTCGATTGGGATTTTCTCGCAACTTGCGTTCGTGAGTCTCGGAATGTCACGTGGCGCCTGGCAGGAAGACGGCTCGTTTTCGAGATGCGGGTCTCGACCTCAGCGCCGCGCATGTGTATCTCGACATCCACAGAGGGAGTGACATTCCCCGAGGCGGCACGCGCCTTCGTTTGTTGTGGGAAATGTGAGCCGCGTTTGCAGGGTATGTCACGGTCGTCGCGCGACCTTGGCAGGGCATTGCAGGGGTCAGTTTGCAGGGGTATCGCAGGGTCGTGTCGCAAGGTCGGTTTGCAGTTTGTTGCAGGGGCCTTCGCAGGGTCTTTGCATGGGAGCGTCTGCAGGGTATTGCAGGGCGTCCACGGGAAAGGATATGGAGATGGTTTTATTCAAGTAGAAGGAAGAGGAAATGCGTTAGACCACCTTCGCCCCCAAGGGCTTGTAGAGTTGTATGACCACGGGAGGAGGGAAGGGCTGAAGCCTAAGGGCGGCGCCTGTTATCCTCATCCTCTCCCCTTTTTCACACCCCATCCGCTGTTTCTTCACCCCCTTCTGTCCGCCCTTCTATTCCTCCCCCTCCTCCGTCCCCCCCTTGCATCCTTCCCTGTGAGCCTTCCCCCTCCCTCCCTGCATTTACTCGGATCTCCCCCTTTTCCAACGACGACAAAGACGGTTACGACCACGACCACAGTGACGAGGGCCGAACGACGACCGACCGACTGACTGACCGACCGACTGGCAAGCGACGAACGACCCAGCTGGCGACCAACGACCGACGACCGATGACGACGACGACGATGACCACGACGGCGACGGCAGCGGCGTCGGCGACGGCGGCGACAACGACGACGACCGACGACCATCGACGACGACCCCGCAGGCAGGCCCGCCGGGCGTCCCCCGGGGCGCGCGGCTTCGTCTCGCTGTACCGCATGCGCGAGGCTGCGTACGCGGAGGCGGCGGGCGCGGAGGCCCGCCGGAGCGCAGAGGCTTTCAACCTCAGTACGGTTTCACCGATCCCCAGGCGTGCCTGCAGATCACAGCGTCTCATCTTTTCGAGCGGGGGCGATCTCGCCCGATTTCGGGGCCCTGGGCCCTCACAGATTGATCGGGCTCGACAAATGACGCAGATGGCTGGGGTCCAGGGCTCGTATCTCAGGGAGCGAGCCAGTCGGGTGTGGTTACGCCGGGGTGTGGTTTTCAGTATCCCTTTACCCCAGCTGGGGATGTGCCTCTCGGAGCCCGAATGGAACAGCTTGTATTTCATATTTCCATGTTATCGTTTTCGGATAGGAAAGGTTTACCATCCAGGGGAGGGTCAAACGCCAGATAAGAAACGTTTACCATCTAGGGGAGGGTCAAATCGGCCAGTGGGGCCCAGGCCACGCTGGTGGGGATAGGGATCGGTTAAACGATGGGTCGCGGCGGGTGTCGACGCCGCTCGAGGGGTCCGCGGGCGCTCTCGGGCTGGCCCCCCCGCTGGCCGCGGCTCCGGCGGTGGCCATGCGGAGCCGACCCGCGCCCTCCAGCCCCGCCGCTGACCCAGGTGTCTGTCTGGGCCTCCTTGATGGCGTCGGAGGATTGCGCCGCATCGCCGATGCATCGCCGATACGGCTCGATGTGCAGCCCGATGTGCTTCACGTCGGCGTCGCCGATGCATCGCCCACGTCGACGATGCATCGCCAGTGCATCGCCGATGCATCGCCGATGCGGCGCGATCCCGCGACCTCATCAAGGAGGCCTCTATTAGGTGCCCCGAGGTCCTGGCGTCGTTGCTTGTTGTTCCTGGAACAAAAGGCGAGTTGGCATACTCTCGGGTTTTTGGGGCCCTCGCGGAGCGACAAGTCTCGCAGAGCGCCGCAGGAGGAGGGGGTCCAGGGCTCCTGACTTGGGCGGCCTCAAAGACAGCCAAAGAGACTCCCGAGAGAGTCTGAAGACGAGCCCTTGCGACCGTCATAAAGCGACTTGAGACGTCCGGAGTCCCAACAAGCGCGATCAGGGCCCCAGGATCAGCCACCGCACCAAGCACAGGCTCGCCCAGGAGTCCCGTGGGTTAGGGGTGCGGAGCCCTGAACGGGCACTTGCAGATTTCAGCACAGGGTTTTCTGAGGGAGGACACTCCACTCGGTGCCCGCGGCACAGTGGTGTCTAGGTTAGTCCAGTCCACTCGGAGGTCTATCAGAGTCTATTGGTGGGACGCTACTGGTGCGGGCCCAGCCTGCTGACAACACATTGCGAAGTCATCAAGGATTATCGTTTGACCAGAAGCAAGAACGTGCTGAGCGGGCCTTGCAGTGAGGACCATGTGGGGCTCAGTGGGGTCTCTGGTTTTCGGCCGGTCCTTAGATCTAGGAGGGCGAACTTTTTCCTATCCGACTCTACAGGCTTACGCCACATCCGCCGACCCCTTCTGTGAGTGTTGCGAGGCCAGGAGTTTCTGGCCAGCGGCGTCTTGTGTGAGGGTGCGGTGTCGCGCGCGGGTGGTGGCAGATACGTAGGGGGTCCAAATGTTTGCGTGATGCCGGTGGTCTGGGGCGTGTTTTGCGAGCGCTTTGCGTGCTGTGCACCCGGGTGCGGGGTGTCCTTCTGGGAGGTCGGCCTTTCGACCCGCAACCAAGTGGAGGAGCACTGGAAGACGAAAGGAGCAAGAGTAGCGTGTGGAAGCTGTGATCAGCGAAGCATCGCAGCGAAAGATGTGGCAGATGAATCGAAACGGGTGAAGAGGCTGTTGACGTTCGCAGCGCGCACGAAACAGTTCGCGTGGCAGCAGCACATTAGCGCCGAGCAAGATAGTGAGCACGTCGCGAGGAAGAGTAAGGTTGTATGCGCGGAGTGCATTGCAGTTGGCGTGACGGCTCGCAATACGGAAACGTCTGGGGGTCTTTTGGGGGCCTCCTGGGGGCCTCTTGTGGGTTCCTTGGGGCGTCTTGGCGGTTTCTTGAGGGCCGTTGGCGGCCTGTTGGGGCGCTCTTGGAGCCCCCTGGGGCTCGTGGGGGCGGAAAGCTAGATTTTTGGATTGTTGGTTGCCCTCTTGGGCCCCTCTTGGTGCCGTCTTGGAGCCTTCTTGGGCCGTTTTGGGGACCTCTTGGGCCGTCTTGGGGCCATATTGGACCGTCGCGGGGCCGTCTTGGGGGCCTCTTGGGCCGTCTTGGGGCGGTTTTCGGGGTTTCTTGGGCCGTCTAGGAGCGTCGGAAAACCCAGAAGGCGGATGTGTGAACATTGTACGCTTCACGACGGGAATACGTACATGTCTGCGTCCAGGGACCGTCATGGGACGCATCTTGGGGGCCTCTCAGGGGCGTGTTGGGCCATCTGGAGGCCATTTCGGGTGTCTTCGATCGCTATTGGACCGTGTGGGACCATGTTGAGCTCTCTTGGAAGCCACTTGGAGCGCTCTTGGGGCCGTCATCGGGGCTCTCTTGGGCCGTCTTCGGCGCCGCTTGAGCCGTCTCAGCGCCTTGTTGGGCTGTCTTGGGGCCCTCTTGGGGGCTTCTTGGGCCGTTTTGGGGCGGTCTTGGGGGACTCTTGGGCCGTCTGGGAGCGTCGGAAAGCCCGAACGGCGAATTTGTGGAAAAAAACGCACGCTTTACGAAGGGAACGGGCTAATTTTTGCGTCTAGAGGCACTCTTGGGACGCATCTTGGATGCCTCTTGGGGCCTCTTGGGGGCATCTTGGGCCGTCAGGAGGCCATCTTCGGTGTCTTTGATCGCTCTTGGGCTGTCTGGGACCATATTGAGCTCTCTTGGAGGCCACTTGGGGCGCTCCTGGAGCGCTCTTGGGGCCCTTTTCGGGGCCCTGTTGGGCCGTCTTGGACGCTTGTTGGGCCGTCTTGGGGCCCTCTTGGGCTATCTTGGGACCCTCTTGGGGGTTTCTTGGGCCGTCTTGGGGCGGTCTTCGGGGCCTCTTGGGCCGTCTTGGAGCGTCGGAAAGCCCAGAAAGCGAATTTGTGAAAATTATACGTTTTACGAAGGGAATGGGCCAATTTTTGCGTCTAAGGACCCTCTTGGGACGCATCTTGGAGGCCTCCTGGGGCCTCGTGGGGACCTCTTGGGCCGTCTTGGAGGCCTCTAGGCTCGTCTTGGGGCCATCTTGGGCGTGTGGAAGCGCTCGTTTGGCGTCTCGGGGCCCTCGTGGGCCGTCTTGGAGGCCTCTTGGAGCCTTCTGGGCCCGTCTTGATCCCCTTTTGGGCCCAAAAGAGCCCCGTGGCGCGCTCGTGCTGGGCCCAGGGGGGGGGGGTCAAATCTCCGGTTTGGGGTCCCTGGGGGGGGGGATTATGGGGGGGGAACTATCTCACACGCCTAGAGACCCACAAGGGGTCGGCGGATTCTTATTCAGCTCTCCTAATCGTAACAAGATGGCTGCACCACCGGACCACAAGCAGGGAGATTCCAAGAGGGGACCGCAACGCCGCGCATCGCTGGGAGCTCACTCGGCAAGTAATTCGCACCGGCTGGGGTGCATCCGCTCGAAAATACGTACGCAAAAACCCTTCAGTGCAAGCAGCGTCTGGGGAATATTGATAACGCTCAGGAGCACCTGGCAGATTGGACCGCAGCCCTGGATTCCAATTTTCTGCGGCATTCTTCGAGCCAGATCGATCCGTGAGGGCACCAGGGCGATGCCAGGATCTCAGGGTCGCCTTGCCACCTGCTCCTCGCACTGCCCCAGCGCTCGGCGCCAACGAGCACCATTCCCATCCTGGCTAAGTGACGAAGAGGCGAAGTACTGAGAATAAACAGCGAAATTGAGATCCGACGAAATCACGAATGGACGACGAAACGACGAAGCGAACGACTAAGCACCGTTCCGAACCAGCTCTTCAGTCAGTTCAGTGAAGAACGCCAGGTTTAACACCTGACCCTAGGCCTTGTAAATGGGGCCATGCAGATGGGGTCGAAGGAACACGTCGCATCGCCGAAGCATCGCCAATGCGGCTCGATGTGGAGTTTGATTTTCACACGCCGATTGCACCAGTGCATCGCTGGCGTTGCCGATGCATCGCGCATGCGGCTCGATGTGGAGCCCGAGTTTTTCCACGCCGACGGCGCTGGCGCATCACTGGCGTCACCGATGCATCGGCGAGGCGCGATCCTCTGACCTCCTTCCCTCTCGGCACGCGCTAGGCGCACGGCGCACGGCTGCTGCTCGTCGGCGAGGCCGCGTGGGCGCGCGACGCGCCTTTCGACGGCCAGAGTATTCCGCAGGCGCCGCCCCCCCCCGAGGATCGAGTTTTGAGGAGGAGGAGGAGGAGGAGGAAACCCAAGGGTCATCGACGATGTTGGAGTAAACCCTCCCTCCAAGCTCCCTCCTTATAGGCCCCTAGAACGGTTCATTTCCTTGTGGAATTGCCTCGTTGGAAGACACATACCCTGAAGCATGCCAAACTATTGTTCTCGAGATGCCAACGCCACGTATCAACCTGACCGTTGGGTCTTGACGATCCGGAATCGTGCCAGAACGTCATCCTTAGGACTTCAACACAGAGAATCAATGTAATTGTTGCGCCCGCATAATCCTTAATCCGTCCAAAACACCATTTCTGGTACGTTGATGATGGGAACCGGTGAAACTCTTGACAGTTTGTAAACGAATGTGCGCGGCGCTCAGGCGAGAGCCACATTTTGAAAAGGAACCGCCCTCAACACGTGAATCCCTTGCAACTTTGTGAAAAGAATGTGCGCCGCGCAAAGGCGAGAGCCACATGTTGAAAGCCACTCGCCCTCAATCCGTGAAACTCTTGCAATTGTTTGACGAATGTGCGTCGAGCTAAGGCGAGAGCCACAGTTTGAAAACGACCCGCCCTGAATTCGTGAATCTCCTGCAATTTTGTGAAACGAATGTGCGCCGCGCAAAGGCGAGAGCAACATGTTGAAAGCCACTCGCCCTCAATCCGTGAAACCCTTGCAATTGTTTAAATGAATGCGCGCCGAGCTAAGGCGAGAGCCACAGTTTGAAAACGACCCGCCCTCAATTCGTGGCCAATTTTCAAGTTTCAGGGTCGTAAGTGGTGAGGAAGTCTCAGGCGAAACGCCCGACCAGCCCTAAAAACTGGCCTCGGGGTGCGACAGGGAGAAGTTATTTACAAGAAAGAGGAATGGAGGAGGAGGAGAAGAAAAAGTACGTTTCGAATCTCGGGATGCTTCCCGGCAGCGGCGCCTCGCCGATGGCGTTACGGGGCTGCCCGGATCGTCACGAACGGCCGCCGAGATCCGGAAACCTCAGGGGGCGGGGGTTGCCCCTGAGATGTTGGCGTCGCATTTGTTTCTCTCACACCGGGCGAGTTTGTCTTGTTTAGGGCCCTGAGACATTCACGGATCGATAGGGCTCGAAAAGTGAATCAGAAAGATACAATGCGGTCTAGGGTTCGGGTCGTTGTTTGTTCGTGATGTTGCTACATTTGGTGGTCGCAACGTCGGATCTCAGGGACTATTCAAGGTTCCAGGATCGAAGATACAGTTTTCTGGGAATCTTGAAGACCTCTTGGAGGCTTCTCGTGACCATGGCTGGATTTGCCTCGACAGTCTCGCTGGAACGCACTGCTGGTCAAGTATGAGGTGGAGATCTTTAGAGGGCGTAGGGGGAGGAGGACCCAAACCTCTTGCGTCGTGATTTTCGTCAACGCTGGCGTGTTCCTCGGTGTCGGCCTCCAAAGGGCCGCTTCGGGCCCCGGAGCCGTCATAAATTTGCCATGCACACAATAGAGGCGCCTAGACGGCACATCGGAATTCGATCACATGAGCGACGCAACAAAAACTGGTTCGTCTTCACCGACATTGGCGCGTAAGCTGCCCGCGTAAGGTCGCGCGGAAGTGCCATCTTCTCCACACGAGTTGCCACGCTGGCAGCCCGCGTAAACCACCACGTAAGGTGCCCATGCCATCTCGCGTAAGACCCGTTTCTCTTCGTCGCCCACATGCATGAGCGTAGGTACAACACGGGCCAGATCTTGTGGTCCGGCCGAGCGTGCCGGCGCCAAACCGACGACAAAGATCACCGAGGGCGGGACATTGCCCGCGGGTCGGGAAACCGGGAAAGCCAGGGCGTTGGAGGTCTGGGTCCTCTTCCTGCCCTTTCCTTCTCGGCCTATGGGGGGTGGGGGGCCCGCCCCCGCTACGGGGGGGGCCCCCGCTTCGCCCTTGCCTTCTCGAGTCCACGACGTTCCTTGGCGTCGCGTTGATGCTGCCCCGCTTTGGCAGACCGCATATGCACGGGTAGGCATATTCCGTGTTTCAACGTTCGTTTCATGACCCTTTATATAGTAATAGACCCACGTTGACATCCAAGGGGGAGCCTCATCGCTTCTTGTGGACGCCGCCCGGGGAACGAGACATAATGTTCCCCAGGATGCGACACGGGATCGAATTTGAGGTGTGTTTGGGGACGATCAGTGAGGTTTTGACGGGGCAATCGATATTGCTTAGGTTTTTCCAGGTAGTCGGTCGTTCATGCTGTCTCAGATTGGGGTAGTGATGCGACACCGCCACCACCTAGCCCACCTCTCTGATCAGCACTTCCAGGTGTCCGAGGAGGCCCCGGAGGCCCTTGGCGTCGATGCCGTGGAAGGCTCCAAATTGATCGCGAATGGGCAGGCTGTCCCTGTTCCAAGGGTCGCACAAGGCCAGGACGGCCTGCCAGACATCCCTGGTAGGGCCAGGTCGTCCGTGGGGGATCATCAGCACATGGGGCTCATGGACCACGATGAACATGATCACTGGCACGTTGGCGACGGACGCTAAGCAGGATAATTCGGTAAAAATGGTGTCGTGGACGGAAAAGGGACGAATCATATAAATGATGGTAGTGTGTGATGAAACCGGCAGAGGAAAACGTTCCACATCGAGTTAAGAATTTCACAATTCATTCCCCGTCCACGTCCGCGACAATCGAACTTCATCATCGGCAGAACCATCCCTGCCCCCCCGGGATGAGGTATCTTAGTTCTCCCGCCGATGCCCGGAATCGGTATGCGTCGATGGGGCGCGGGGCGTTGCCGCCCACCGTGGTTGGACAAACGTTTCAGCAATATTGAGTACATGAAAGATGGGGCTGCCCGCAGGACCGCGGTTCGGGAGCCCCTGCTGCAGCGGCGCCGCCCATGGTGGCCTCAGGGGGCCACGAAAGCAGGCCCGCCGGCCGACCTGCCCCCTTTCGGTGGGGAGTGGCGGCGTTTCGATCGGGCCTCAACGCGCCACTCCCCATCCGAAGGGCGAAGTGTTTATTCGTAGGTTCGGCAATTATGCAATAGGAGGTCCACCGAGAAAACCGGCCAAAATCTCAGATAAATCTTCAACAGGAAGCTCAAACCCCCAAATTTGACACAAACTCTAAACCGAGACCTGGGAAAATCTCGAACCCAGCAAAATTTGCAACGCATCTCAGGACCACAATCCGGGAAAACCGACACCACAAATAATGAAATGCCAGGAACATCTGAAGCAGAGACATCGAAACAACACATGTGCGCTTTGTTGTATTGCACAACAAGAACAACGCCGGATGTGTTGTAGATGTTCGTTTAAGTGTTCTTGAGTTTATGAGGCGAGATGTGTTGAGAGTTGTTCGGTTGTTTTTGGTTTCCAGATTTTGTTTCAGAATGTGCCCCAGAGCGTCTGTCGTTTTAATGTTCTCAGCGGTGGGAGTAGATTATTATATATAAGTAGTTGCTTTAGAGTGTTTGGTGCGTGTTTTTAGAGTTCTGGTTTCATTTGTTATTGGTTTGAGTTGTTCTGCCCCCAGGTTTCGGTTCAAAGATGTCTTTTGTTTGAACAACACGTTTTTTCGAGTTTGAGATTTCATATAGTTTTCGGTCAAATTATTGTTTGAAATTTCTTGGGGGGGATTGAACAATTCCCAGGTTTGGGCTTAAAAAATTGGAAGAGCGGTTTCTGGGGGTGCAATGTTCGCAGGTTTGGGCTTTGATATTTGATGCAAATTTTTGTTGGGGGGAGATTATATTTTTTTCATGCTTTTTAGAGTTTGAGTTTCTTCGCGCGATATGGCTTTGCACAGCTGGTAGTCGCTGTTGCCGGAACCTAAGCCTGTTTGCATCGCGCTGCCAGGAGGATCGACCATCGGATGCATGTCACCAGCAAGAAACCAATCCATGTTGTCATCATTGAGAAAGTGTGCAATTTCATGTGGCGGGAACGGACGACTGCGACAATCCTCGGCCGTATCCGCACGGACCGAGATAAGACGGTGGCGGGAATCAGTCAAAGACGTGCCAGTGGAGTGGCGAAGACGCATGGGCGTTTCGGCGCATTTGCACCGCGGCAGGCGGAAGAGCCCAAACGCGGCGTTCTATGCAACAGGGGACCCAGAATGGCGCGAACGATGTCACAGTCTTCCCAATGTTGAAGAGCACGTGGATGCAAGAGACTTGTTTGTACATGACGCTTGTGCCGGCTTGGGTCTACCCGTGGTGTCGCGAGGGGAATCGGTGGAAGCCCGTTTGGATTTGGCATCAGACCGTTTGCAAGTGGACTTCGCCGTAGACAATTTGACAATTGGCAGAGATCGGGAATGGTGTGGCAAGTATTTCAGACAACAGGTATCGTGGTACCGTCACTCACTCGATTGTTTACGGCTGCGGTTAGAATTCTTTTCAGCATTTAATTACAAGGCCAATTGTTTAGATCCAATCGATTGGAGGCCCCGGGAGTACAATCAGGCTGCTGGTCACATTGCGAATTGCGCACCCGCTGGACATGCCGACGTGGACACCCTGAGTCGCCCTTACGTGAAATAGCATTTGAGCAACGCAGTGGCCTTGCAATTCTTTTCGGACCGAGGCTATGTCAACGGAGCGGGCGTTGCCGCTTTCGTGTTTGGGATCTTACCACGTGACACTGGCTTTCGCGCCGACATCCTCGGAGCCTGGTGTGTCTGGAACTCCGTCCGAAGCATATTCCGTCTTCCGCATGGATGTAGAGAGGCGTTTGGTATGGCTACGAGATATGTCGTCGAACTGGCCGACAAGATGTTGTGGCCGCCGAAGCGAGTTCGCGTTCTGTGATATCATAATCTTCAGCAACACGAGAAATGGCGCTTTGCACCGACGGATGGGACGCGAAAGGCATGTCCGTGATTTGTTGATTTCTTACCGACGTTGTGGACACGTCTCCATGGATCGAAGGAAAAATGTCATAAACGCACAGCTGCGGCGTTCTTTGCGGATTTCTCGGATCGGCGTTGGGGCCCTCCCGGCGGCGCCAATGCCCGTTTGAAGCCGTCTGGGGGTCCGAGGTGGCCCAGCAATGATGCCGGCCAGCACGATCGGCGGGCAGGTTCGTGGCGCTGGCCGGGTTCGCTGAGGTTTTTCCTGTTTTCGGCCTCGCGGTTCGGAAGTGACAAATAAGACAAGATGTAGCCCAGGGGGGTTCTGGGGACCGATTTTGAACGGAATTGGTCTCATCCCTCCCTCCTGACCGTTTTTCTGGGGTCCCAACCAGTTCGGGCCCCCACGCCGCCTCCAATGTCCTTGCGCCACTTTGGACAGGTTCCCATGGGCGGACAGGTGGCACATAGGCCGTGAAAGCCATGGCGCCCGCTCTGGCCACTGCCCACTTCCTTCCTGCGAGAAGCGAGGGGGGGCGGCTACACAGGCCCCTTTTCACTTTCCCACCACAGATCGCCGACGCACAGACGCACAGCGGCCCACAGAGAACGGAGCGCCCACAGACTCAAGAGGAAATCCTCGGCTCGCGGGCTTGGCCCCCTGGGCCGCGACCCCGCGGATACAGGGCGTGTTTTTTCTGCGGACCCCCCGCGCAGAGCGCATCCGGCCGCGTATAGGAATCCATACCGCGAGGGCGTGGATATGCACTCATCCGTTGCCCGTCCCTTTTCGGCTTTGCCGGCCCCGGAAGGCTCTACGGCAGGCCGCCGCGGCCGCCGCCGCCGTGAAGGCGGGAGACCCGAGGACCGCCGCGGACCTCGTCGACGTCTGTTTTCGGCTGTCGCCCGTCGCCGTCGCCCGCCGTCGCCCGTCGTCCGTCGTCGTCTGTTGTCGCCGCCTTCATCGTCGACGGCGAGGAGCTAGGCGTGCGCCCGCCCTGGCCCCCCCATCTCCACGGCTGGACCCGGCCAGAGCGCGCCCCAGCTGGGCGGGAGGCCCCGTATTCGATCTTTGGCCAGGGGGAAGGGCACGGCCGAGGCCTCATCCCCTCCTCCCCGCCCCCTCCATCTTCGCCTCCATCCCCTCCATCCGCGCCCCCATCCTCGCCCATTTTCGCCCCCGTCCCCTCCTCTCCGCCCCCATCCATCCCCTCCTCCCCGCCCCTTCCGTCCTCGCCCCCATCCTGCCGCCCTTCCCCCCGTCCCCTCCGTCGTGCCGAGCCCTCGGCGTCGGGCTCTCCCCGCTCCCTCCTGGGGGTGGCGCTCGCCGTCGCCCGGAGGGAGCCGGCCGGTCGAGCAGCGGCGGCCTGCGACGGGGGTGAGCAGGAGGAGACCCGCGGGAGGAGCAGGGCGGGGGAGGAGATCCTCTTCCTCCTCCTGCTCCTCCTCCTCCTCCTCCTCCTCCTCCTCCTCCTCCTCCTCCTCGGGACCAGGGCCATCCAGCGATCGGCCGCCTTCAGTCCTGCCGTTTTTACCAGAGAGGAACAACTCGCGATGCAGATCAGCAGCGCCTCGAGCGATAGACGATACTAGGGAAAACAACTGCACGGTTTGGAGGCCACATGTCGGAAGTACTACGCATGGCTACCTACAATCGGGACAACAGGCCCTAGGTGCAGGACCAGGCAAACAGCTACTGACATCAGGACCTCATGAGACCAGGATATGTTCGAATACGTGTACGAATGTGGACCTACCTACGTATGGAATCCACCGACGAGAAGACTGCGGACCAGCATCGGTGCTCACCGACCCCACCCACCATAGGGGAGAATCAAGGGCCTCCAAAGGGATCACCCACGATGGGGCCTCAGGAGTCAAGGGAGAAGCCGAACCAGGACCGAACCCGGACATCACGCACCAGGAGTTGGACGGACCAGGACGCCTAAGTTTCTGCTTGACCCCTCGCCTTCGCCCACCACATCGACGCAACTACTGAATTTCGCCCGCTCTCTCCTACTTTGGTGTGTTCCCCCAGCTCAGGAAGCAACCAGGCTAGGCCAGGAGTGCAAGGCGACAGGCTCCGACTCCAACACTACCCAGGTCCGTCTCCTACCGCAGCCCTGCCGGCTCGATCCGAGCCTTTCGGCGTCTTCCCACGCGGGATTAGTTGGAGCCACCGACACCTGTGCCCAGTCGGCATGGCGCAGCAGCGCAGCCCGACCACTTGGGCGGTAGCGGCCGCTGCGGCCCAGCCGACAACGTCTGTGCAAAAGGCGGCGTCGACGATGGAACAGGTGGCGATCCAGAAACTTGCTGAGCGCGGCGGCGGTCCAGGCGACTAGGTCTCCGGAGCCATGCAGTACCGCTTGGAGACCTGCCACAAGACGCTGCAGACCACCAGCGAGAAGCACAACGACATCATCCAGCACAACCAGATGGTGCTCTACGGCCTCTATAAGCAGCAGGAGCGCATCACCATGTTCTTGACGAGGGTCGCCGCCAGCAAAAGCCCTAACCAGTATGAGGATATCGAGCGCACTCATGCGACGGAGCTCTTGAAGCAGCAGCTCGACGAGAACAGCAGGGCCATTGAGCACTGCCGCGGCGTTGAGAGCATGCTCGGCAGCCAGAGCAGGCTCCACAAGGGCCCCCACCCGTGGGAGCTAGACTACACGAGGTTCCGGATCGACGAGCTCCAAGGCCATTGCACCAAGTGGACAGAGAGCAACTACGGCTGGGGCTACGACGAGGTGGCGGTGGTGGACCAGAGCAGTCTCAACAGCCTGCAGCAGCCGCGCAGTAGTGGCACGCGGCAGCGCCCGAAGTGCACGAACCCAGCAGGTCCATCCAGGGGTGGACGCCGCACGCGAAAGTATTGCCGACGCAGCTGCAGCTCCAGCCCCCGCCTCCGCCAGGCATTCCAGCGGAGCCAGATGCGCCGAGCCTGAGCGGTCGCAGAGACGGTGGGGTGGGGGCTGGGCTGCATGTTGTGAGCAGCGATGTCGGCCAGTAGCCTGCCCTTGTTTAGCGGAGCCCGACCTGCCAGCGCCAGAAGCTTCTCCGCCTGGCATCCCCTTGCCAATGAGGCAAGCGAATGACGGAGAGTTGCCGACCAGCGGCAGCCGGGTATCCACTCAGTTCAGCAGCAGGCCGTATGTTTTCTCTCGCGTCGCGCCGACAGCCGTGAGAGAGGTGGCGGTGGAGGTGTGGAATGGGGGGGAGTGCTCTCAGCGGCCTTGGGTACGTTCCAGTCGGGGAACACCCAGGGCCGCCTGCGCCCGCCATCCAGCCACCCAGGTCAGGGTCTCCCTGCTACGGCGAAGCTGCTGAGGCAGGGCGCGCCAGCCGACAGGCAGTCAAGGGGCCTCCCTCCGTGCATTCACCCAGCCTTTTTTTCTAGGCGTCGCGACTTCGACCCGCAAGGGCGTCATCCTTATCCTCCTCCTCATCCTCCTCGTCCTCCTCCTCCTCCTCCTCCTCCGCCTCCCCCTTTTCCTCCTACTCCTCGGGCTCCTCCTGCTCCGCCCGCTGCTCCTCTTCCTCCCCCACCTTCCCCTGCTACACCTCAAGTGGACCAGGGGAAGTAGGTCAAGGAGGAGGAGGAGGAGGAGGAGGAGGAGGAGGTGCCTGGAGGAGGAGGAGGAGGAGCGGGAGGCAAGGGGGGGAAGAGCGTCAGAAGGAGTAGCAGGATAGAGAGGGCCCCTGACTTCATTTGCCCGTCTCCACGAAGGCGCAACCCTGAAGAGCGGGAGGCGGGGGGGGAGAAGAACACCGTGAGGAGTAGCAGGATTGACAGGGGTCTGGATGTCACCTGCCCGTCCCCACGAGGGCGCAACCCAAGAAGAAGGAGGACGAGGAGGAGACCAAGGAGGAGGAGGAGGAAGACAGAGGGGTAGGAGGACGAGGAGCTCGACGAGAGGTTGTGGAAGAGGAGAGGAGGAATGGGGGAGGAGGAGAAGGATGAGGAGGAGGACGAGGGGGAGGAAAAGGAGGAGGAAGATGGGGGGGGAGGAGCGGGCGGCTGAACGAGAGGGAGGGGGCTGTTTGTTGGGTATGTTCCCGTTGGGCTGGCACGCAAAGGCCTCGGACGCAGCTCCCTTTTAGCATGGAGCCACGGCCAGGGGAGAGCTCGGGAGTGGCCCTGCTGCCACGGCTCGGGAATACAAGCCGCCGGCGCGGGAGGGGACGACGACAGGGCTTGAGAGAGCATTTATTTGTGCTTGATGCTTGTCTGGCAAGAGTCGGAATGCCGCTGCGCTGTGGGCGCGCGCCCTTTTGCCGAAAGGGGGATGGCTGCACCAGAAACTGAGCTGCTCTCGAGCTCCTACCAGCAGCTGATCGGCCAGAAGCTCGCCGAGCGGAGCAGGGAGCTGGCGCGCGGCTCAGCGGAGAGCGCGGGAGGCAGTTTTGAAACGTCTTGGGGCCTGTTTGGGAGCTTCTGTTGTGCCGCTTGGGAGCATCTTTTGGGCCGCTTGGGGCTTCGTGTGGCTTTTTGTTTGGGGTCCTCTTGGGGGGGAAAGATAGGACGTTCGGTTCGTGTTCTCCTTGTTTGCCTCTTTGGGGGCCTTTTGGGGCGATGTTTGGCCTTATTGGGACTATTTGTGGGCCGTCCTGGAACCCTCTTGGGCCGTCCTGGGGCCCTTGCAGAAGCATCTTGGGCAGTTGTGGAGCGGGGCCTCTGGTGCTGTCTTGGGATGTCAGAAGCTCGAGAAGACAATAATCCCTTCACAACATGAGCAACCTAAGGAAAACCATTGATTTCGGCCTTCCGGGTCCTCTCGGGACGGTTCTGTGGGGCGTCTCGAAGGCTTCTTGGGGACTCCTGTGGGCAGCTTGCGGCAGAAGGCTCGGATGTTCGGTCAGTGTTCCCTCTTTTGGGCCCCTTTTTGGTCTGTCTTGGGCGCCTCTTGGGCTGTCTTGGGGCGCTCTTAGGCCGTGTTGGGGCCCTTGTAAAGGCAGGCCTTTGGGGCCGTCTTGGGGGTTTCATGGGGGGATCTTGGGCAGCCTTGGACAATCGGAAACTAGAAAAGGAGAGAACGCCAACATCCTTCAATTATCCGGGCGAAGGACCAAACCATGTGCAGCTGTGAGTACCGTACTATGGCGCCGCTTTCGGTCGAGCTTCCTTTGGGGCCACGACCCGTGTGAGGGGTGCGCCAAAATGGGGCGGCGCCGCCATGCGGACCCTGCCAGTTGGGCCTTCGGTGGAGCTCTCTATGAGTCCACGAACCGTGTGAGGGGTGCGCCACGTTGGGGCGGCGCCGCCATGTAGACCCTGCTGCTTGGGCTTTCGGTGGAGCTCCCTATGAGGCCACGACCCGTGTGAGGGGTGCGCCAAAATGGGGCGGCGCCGTCATGTGGACCCTGCCACTGGGGCCTGCGGTGGAGCACCCTATGGGGCCACGAACCGCGTGAGGGGTGCGCCACAAAGGGGCGGCGCCGTCATGTGGATCCTGCCACCGAGGCCTTCGGTGGAGCCCCCTTTGTGGCCACGAACCGTGTGAGCGGTGCGCCAAAATGGGGCGGCGCCGCCATGTGGACCCTACTGCTGTGGCCTTCGGTGGAGCAACTTACGGGGCCTCGAGGCGTTGCAATGGTTGCGCCGAAACATGGACATGCGAAAGGCAGATGCATGGATGGGAGCGGGGAGGAGGGGGAGGGGGCAGCGGGAGGTGAGGAACGCGGGGCGCTGTCTCTTCAATACGAGGATCCAACACCACAGGATGGTGGGGCAAAACCTGAGGAGTACGATCGATTTTAGCCTGTCGGGACCCTCTTGGGAAGGCAATTAGGGCGTCTCGAAGGCGTCTTGGGGCGTCTTGGAGCCATCGGAAGCGTCTTGGGCCAATCGTTAATCGATTCGGGATCGTCATGGAACGTCTTTCAGGGGTGCGCCGGCGAGCCCGGATCCCCCCCTTGCCCTCAGACGAGATTTTGGACCTTGGGGGAGGGGGGGAGGGGGGGAGGGGGACAGCAAATCATCTCACAGAGTTTCTCACCCGCGGCAAGCGGGGGTCGGCGGAGTGAATGCGCCGTGCTGGCGTGATTCAGCAGACAAGGCGTACATTCGCGGGCCCAGCGCCCAGGATGTGCCTGGCCAGCGTTGGTGGGTGTGTATAGCTGGCGGCCCCGAAGGGAAGGGGGGGCGGAGGAGGGGAGGGGGAAGGGAAGCGTGGGGGGGGGGGACACTGGAAGGAGTTAGCGAGAGGGAGAGAGGGAGGGAGGGAGGGCGGTGCGGAGAGGAGGCAGTGGAGGGGTAGAATCAGGGGGAGAGGGGGGAGGTTGGAGAATCAGACTCGCGCCGCGTCGCGACCGTCAAAAAGCTGCTGTGGCTGAAAGGTGCTCACCTAGTGGGAGAGCTGATGCGTTGGGCTTGTGGGGAGCGGGAGGAAAGGAGGGGGGAAGAGAGGACGGACTGGTCGGGAGGGGGGAGGGGCGAAGAGAGGAGAAGGAGAGCGGGCGGACTCACTGGGGGGGAGCAGGAGGAGGGAGGGGAAGAAGAGCGGGGAGGCGCAGGCAGGGCCCTGGGCGGAGGGAGGGAGGGAGGGAGCAGCGGGGACCCGAAGCGAGCTGGACAGAAGATTCGAGTGGGCCCGAGTCGCCTTCTCCAGGCTTGGTGGGAACCTTGGGTCAGGAACCTCCCTGGAGGGTAGATCGAGATGTTCGCATCTGGTCTTGGTCAGCCAGAGGGCGAACGGGACAGGGGACGCGCGATGAACGGGGCAGCGTATGGCCCGACTTTGCCAAAGTTCGGGCTCGTCGGCGCTTCTTGGCGGGCCTGTCGTGGGAATTGACGGTCCAGACTCCGTGGGATGTTTGCAGCGGGATCTCGCTGAGGAGGGGAAAAAAACACACAGACACAATTAATCGTCCATCCCCAGGAACAGATTGGGAAATATGGGAAGTGGGGGGAGACGAAAATCCAACAAAAACATTGGAAAATATATGGAATCCTGTTATTTGTGTGTATTTATGTGTATGTCCCTGGGCTCCTTCACTCGCATCAACTTTCGGGTTGGGTCTCTCTCCCTCCCGTGGCTGTCATTGCTCGGGGCGTGCAGCTGGGTATGCGAATACCTCCACGGGCGTGAAGACGTTCCGTTTGCGCGGTGTTGCCCGGGGGCGGGGCTTCAGCATCCTGACCCTATCCCTAATGCCACATCCCCATCCCGCCGGACACACTCCCCGGAACCTGGAGGGAGTGGCCAACACCCCCATGTGGGAGGGCAAGTCGGCCAGTGGGGCACAGGCCACGCCCGTGGGGACGGGGATCGATGAAACGCTTCGCAGGGATGACGAGTACGCGGTTGATTCTGCTGGCTAGTTGTGTCATTGTTGTTCTCCCTCGCTTTCTCCACGAGGTCGTGCCATGGACAATGAGGCTGGGTCTCGCCATGCCCCTGACGGCCCTGTCAGGCCAACCCGAGTCCCCCGAACCCGAGCCTTACGTCTCCCCCAGAGGAGGCGTCGACGTAGGTCTGTGGCGAGCCTGGGGTGGAAGTGAGAGGCGGCGGGCCTTCTCAGAAGGCGGCGGGCTTCTCAGAAGCCCTCGCGCCTTCTGAGAAGTCCACCCCTGCTTCCTAGAAGGCGCGGGCCTTATCTATATAGGTAGATAGATAGATAGATAGATAGATAGATAGATAGATAGATAGATAGATAGGTAGATATATATATATATATATGTATATATAGATTGATATATATAGATGTAAGGCCAGCGCCTTCTAAGAAACAGCCTCATTTTAAGAAGCCCTCCCTCATGTCTCCACCCCCTTTTGCGCACCGCCAAGAGAAGGCCTGCCCCATGCCAATTTTCCGTTCGGCTCGCCGCCGATCGCAAGCATCGGGACGTCCAAAATCGATGCCGAAGCGGATCGGAATGGGCCCAGCTAGCGTTTGGCTTCTGGGCCACAAGTCGGGCTTCCGACCGCCCCAGACGCCGATCCGGCTACCCTCGGAACGCTCTTGGCGAGGCGCAGTTGCTGGAATGCATCCCGAGGCTAGAAGACTTCCAGAAAACCACGAGAAGGCCCACGCCCAAGACATGCGACGTCATGCGTTTTTTCAGTACGGGGTCCCCGGACGCCCCGACCCTTTCCCCAGGAAGGCAGAAAAGTACGAAGTGCCTCCCGTCCTGATTTTTTCACGACGCGAGCATGTCTGGTGCCCCCTCTCTCTCATCCCCATCCCCATCCCCACCCCGAGCCCACCATCACACCAACCCAGCTGGGGACGTGCCCCTCAAAACCCGCAGGGAGCAGCCAATATGCCCATCTAGGGGAGTACACCGGCCAGTGGGGTCGGCGTGACGATGCTCAACTTCCCCCCTGGGCTCGCCGCCGAGCAGGGGCGCGCCTGCCGGGCGCGCAGTGCGCCGCTGCCTGCGGGTTCAGCGGCCTCGCGGCCACCCCAAAAGCACAGCCACCCGCAGGCGCTCCTGAGGCGCGACGCTGACCGCGGCGCGCTGGTCCGCCACATCGACGGCGGCGACGGCGGCGAGGACCCCCGGGCGCCCGTCGATCACAGGTTTGGGGTTCGAGGTTCCTCGGGGGAGCAAAGGGTACGGATACCGCTATCCTTGTCTCGTTTCCGCCTTGTGGGGCCTCTTGGGGGGCCCTTGTCACCACCGCTGGATTCGCCTCGACATTCTTGACAGAACGCACCCCAGGAGAGGTCCAGGAAGTAGCGGGTTTTGTACCTGTTGGTTTCCAGTTCTGTATTCGGGAAGGTGTTTGGTTTGTTCAGTCCTTGGGGGCCGTGTTCGGACCCCAGGACACTGAAAAATGGATCCGAGGTGAAAAGCTGCACAACATGGACCTTGGGAGGGGTCCGGGCACCGATTTTGAGCAGATTTGACCTGATCCCCCCCCCTTCTCGACATATTTTCTCGAGGCCCATCTACCTCAGACCCCCGGGCCGCCTCCAAGGCTAGGGTCCCCACCGGGCAAACGCATATTTGAGAAAAGGATGCAAGGTACAAATTTGAGAAAAGGATGCAAGGTACAATTTGCCTACAAGATGCGTCCCGCATCAAGCGCGGCAATCGCTAAGAGGCGCTAAAGGACTTGATGGGGCATGGTAAAAGGTCAAAGAGGCCCATCGTACCTGTACAACGAGGAACGGGCATATATGACAGCGCTGCTTGCGTCAGGCGCCGGCTGGGGCGGACAAATCCTGCCTCCCTAGACTGACAAACGCAAACAATGCTGAGAGCCCACCCAGGCCAGCATCTCTTATTTGGACCACGGGGGGGGCCCCAAACGGCATGGTGACCACACCGTGTTGTGAGCCAGTGGGGGGTCGGGGTCACCACACGGTTTCGGGGCTTGGGCCGTTCTCCGAGAACGTGTCTCGGACGGCTGGGGCCTCCGAGGTCCCAGAACGCCGTGCGGTGACGGGCTGCGCGGTGAGATCGCTGGGGAGTTCGAGGGCACCACGCAGTCCCTCGCCACGCGGTTTTTGGGGGCCCGACGAGGTACCGACACCGTTGCTCGTCCTGGAGAGCTCTGGTCGCCACGGCTGGATTCTCGAGATTCCGACCAGAGCGCGCCTCAGGAGAGGTCTGGGGAGTCGCGGCATCGGTACCTCCTCGTCCCCCCCAAGTCGGTGCTGGCGTCGCCGACGGCGTCGGCGAGGCTTCCGCTTGGCCTCGGACGGACTCGGAGGTGGGCGGGGGCCGGGGGATTCCTCCAGGCGGAGATTAGCTGGAGACTCCTCCAACCTCATGCCCCGATTGGCCTTGAGTGGTTGGCTACGCGATGGCCCGGAAGCCGGCTCGGGAGGGAGGCTTCCATACCACCTCCAGCGTCGCAAGAGCAATGCGCGTTTCTCGTCGAGCTCGCGGCGGACCGCGTTCAGCACCCTTTGGGTGGTAACGCATGCAGACCAGGTTCCGGAGATTCCGCATTCAGAACAGACTGCTTGCACTACGGGGTCCGCGTGTCCCTTTGCTACGTATAGCCAGGCGGCGTTCCCGCGGTTCCGCGCGGTGGGCGCGCGTCGCCCGACGCTCTCACACGGCGCCCGCAGCCGCCGCGTCGCCGCCTTGTGTGCTGGCTGGCGCTGCCAAGCTGTCGAGCGGCGAGCTCCCGTCGCGGCCCCGTGCGCTGGCTTGGCTCCCGCAGTCTTCGGGCGGGGGGGGCGCCCATCGCCGCTTCGTGGGCGCCGTAGCTTGCGTTCAGTGGGTGGCACCGCGCAGCCTGCACCTCATGTATAATTCCCCCTGGAAAGGATCACGAGGCGTTCCCCTCCGCGTATATGTTTGCTCCTCGAACGTTAGTACGCACGATCGCTCATCCGAGCAATCAGGCAACGGCATGCCAGCGAGGACGTTCAGGTGTACGACTTTGTCCGTCCGCTCCCATACCATATCTGGTCAACGTCTCTTTTTGTTTACTCTCTCTCTTTCTCTCTCTCTCTCTCTTTATCTCTCTCTCTCTCTGTATGCTTGTCTTTGTTTGTTTCTCTCTCTCTCTCTTTCTCTCTCTCTCTCTCTTTTTTTCTCTCTCTCTCTCTCTCTATCTCTCTCTATATATATAAATGGTAGCGGGAGCGAGCGCTACCCTGGCTCCCGCGTTTCCCCCGCGCCCGGCAGGGCGCGATCAAGCTCGCGGCCCTCAGCAGGGCCAGGGGCTCTCGGGGGCATCGGCGACTGAACATCCTGAGGAGTCAGGGTGGCGGCGTACGGAGGAACGCTTCGAGGTCGCTGAGCACAGCGGCTTCGATAGTGTCGAAGGCTGGCGCAACGTGGCGAAGTTCTTGGAACGACTGGGTGTTCAATACAAAACACTGGGGATTTTTGGGAACGCACCTCACGGAGGTCGAGGACAGCGGACGCCGACGCCATGTCCACAGCAGCCCGTCCATGCGCTGGAGCAGCAGGTGCAGGCGCCTAGGGCGGCGCTAGCAGAGCTGAGGAAGGCGACTGTCTCAGCAGTGGCGGCAACACCGCGGCCGTTGCAGAAAACGGATGTGGCCAACGCTAATCGGAAAAAACGCGCAGCTCCCACGGCAAGGAAGAGGACAACGCGTGAAAACCCGACGACTAGCACATGTGCACGAGCTATTTCGGAGCGGCCCGAATGCCTGTTAAACGAGGCCGGGACTGCAGATAACGCAGCGAACGTAGCTTTGTTTTTACACGGCGACAGAAGCCAGACGAACCAGCTGAATGCGTACCAGCGATGTTGTTAGGAAGAAAGTATCACGACAAGGTGGCGGTGGCTAGTGGAGCAGGGGGTCGCGAACAAGTACGAGGGCAAGGCAGTGACGAGGCTCACGGGTTTGTTCCGATAGTTTTTAATTGACATCCGCGCTCGGGTCGGATGATGCGGTCAACGAGTTTGACATGTTGGAGACGTTGGTCCAGAATTAACGAGATGGATTGCGCGCTGCTGACATGTATTCTAGATCCAGAACCACAACCAGGAGGAGATTGCGAGGCACATTGTGATGGATTCGGACCGGTTCGACACGCACGAGATGATCAATATTGAGTTCATCGGCGTCAGCCGAACCAAGAAGTACATGCGTTCCCTGGGCCACTAGCAGCAGCAGCAGCAGCGAGGCACCAAGCGTTGCAACGTCAGTGGCAGGATAGGACACGAAGCGCGAGAGTGTTGGCATCAACGCCGATCATGAGGTGGAGGCGGCGACCCGGCTCAACAGGGGGTAGATCGCGGCGGGAAAGGCCACGCACAGGGCGGCAAGGACGAAGACAAAGGCAAAGGAGACAGCGCCAAGAAAGATGGCGACAAGGCCTCAGGAGGCCGCCGGCGGAGGCCGAGGCAACTGGGGAGGCAATCTTCATGGCGTTGGAGGCGGAAGAGGCTCAGGGCAATTCCTGGGCGAGCGCAGACTTGCGCGGCTTCTGGGGCCGCGAGCGAGCTGACAGCAGGAAGTTGCAAGCGAAGAAGCAGGGCATCCATCTGACGGAGCATGGTCAGCATCAGCAGCAAGGCCAGCGAGCAGGTCAGCATCCCCCACCACCGCCTCATCCACAGCAGCGACCTGGACCTGCTTCTTCAATGGCGGCGCCGTCGACGGCATGGACCCTTCCACTTCATTCCTTGTCGCTGTGCGCCCTGCGGCGCCAACGTCGGCCGCGGGGCGCGCATCGCGGTCGGCCCTTGCGCTGGGGTCACCGTTTGGCCCGCCATCCCGCGCGGCCACTACCCCGCGCTGGGCGCGGCCGAGTCGCCAGCAGGAGTCGGGCACGCCTTGGCTGGAGAGCGCTGCCCAGGCCGCGCGAAGGGTGCCTGGGTCGAGTTGCCTGGCGCCGGACTGCGCATCAGCGTCGAGCGAGTGCAAAGCGCGTTTGAGACCAAGGCGGGGGCGCCACCCCGCCCAGGCGGTCGCCGGCAGGCGCAGCCGCGCGACCAATCGCGCTACAGATGTTGCAGGGCGGCAACGCCGCGCTGACGTCGCTCGAGCAGGACCAACCTGAGATTCTCGGGGCGCCCCAGAGCCTATAGACCATTCGGACGCCGACGAGGCCGCGCTGCGCGGGGGCGCAGCGGAGGAGGCGGCCGAGCACTGCGCGCGCCATCTTCCTCGCGAGGCGCGGGCCGGCATTGCGAGACAGGCAGACGCAAGGCCGATCGAAGCAGGCAGTCGGCGGCGTCGCATTCCGCGGCGACCCCCACGCAGGCTGCGAATTCCCCGGGGGCAATGCGGAGGCGGGCAACCAGGGGCAGGAGACGGCCCCGAACATTGCGGCGTGGAGTGCCCCCCCGCCCGCGAGCACCCGATGGGCGGGCAGCTCGCGCGGCGCGGTCGAGGGGGGCGAAGCGCGAGCACGCGATCGAGATCGCGGCCCAGGACACCATCGCGCCCGGCCGCGGCAAGAGCGACGGCGAGCCAGCGCCGCCCGCACCAAAGACGGGCGCGATCTCGGAAATCAGGAGAGCTGGCGTGGAGGAGAACGCGGCCCCCGAGGAGCGCCGGGTCGGCGGCCCACGATAGGACGTCTTTATCGAGAGGGCCACTTGGGAGGCGGAGGCTCCGACGAGGGCATCGGCGCACCGCGAGGCAGAGAGGTGCAGGGGCGAAGTCCGAGTCGGCCCGCCCCGCCATCGCCCGGGCCTCCCCGCTCGAGCCAGCCGTGGAGCTGACGCCAGAGGTCAGGTCACGATGGGCAAAAATCATTCGACAGACGCCGAGGGCGGTCCTGCCGCGGGAGGTCGCCGGAGTTCGGGGGGCCACCGACGCCCCCCGCCGCGGAAGGCGGCAAGCGCGGGGGGGTCATCAGGAGATTCCGCGCAGGCACGCGCGCAAGGCTCGCGGGGCAGAATGCAAAGGGCCATCGCCGTCTCCAGAGAAAGCGATTTCGCGGCCAACGCCAGCGGGCGGCAGCCGGAGGAACGTCGCGGCGAGGGGTCCCGCCGCGGCGTCGGCCGCGGAGATTGGGCAGGAAGCGGAGAACGCGCTGCCTTCTTTTGCGGCGGTCCCTGCCGTGCCAGGGGCAGAGCCGCCGCCGGCCCCAGCGGCTGGGCCTGCGGCGGGCCCGAAGCGAGTCTACACCCGCAGGGGGCGAGCTGCGGCCATGGCACGCTGCGCGGACAAGGGGGTCTTGATCTCGGCGATCTTCGTCGTGGAGGCGAAGGTCCCAAATCTTCGGGCGCGCCAAGTTCTTGCACAGGTCGAGGCGGCGCGGGCCAACCCCGGGCTCCGCCGTGGACCTCGGCGCCCGCTGGGACTTCAACGGCCCGAAACAGAAGGGCGACGCGCGACGGCTATGGGAGACGCAGCGACCGCTGCGACCGATTGCATCACCGCGCTGCGTTGCTTGGGTTGCTCCACTGAGCCGCGGCAGCGTCGGCGAGCAGACCGCGGGCAAACAGATGGCGGAGGCCGCCGACCTCGCGGGCGTCTGCGCGGCCACGCACCGCAGCCAGCCGAAGGGCCACCGCTGCCGCCCACGCAGACCTGCGAACGCAGCGCCTTTGCCGCGCGCCCACGGCATTCAAGTTGCGGGCGCTGGGCGACGTCCACTGCGTCAAGGATGGCCCGCGCGAGGCCGGCCGGGCGGCGCCGGCCGCGGACGCGCCCAGCGTCGCGACGGCGGCGGCGATCTCTCGCGGCATGTGAGCCCAGCTCGAGCGCGACGAGCTCGAGAGCGGCACGGGCGAGTCCATGGTAAGCCTAGACCAGGGCCACCGCGCGGACAGACCCGCGAGATGGTGCACCCGCCGCAGCGCGTGGACATGTGGGAGCAGGCGCCGGGCGCGCGCCGCCCGCCGCCCGCCAGAGAAAGTCACGGAGGCTCGGGCGAAGGTGGTCGAATTCTTGAACGGCTCCCTTATCTCCGAAAAGGTGGGCGCCAGCTCGGCCGAGGGCGGCGAGGCCCTGAGCGCCCGCTGGGCGGGCGTCAACGAGGGCGACAGCCGCGGCGCGCGGGTTCGGTCAGGGATCTTCACGGAGGAGGTCAAGAGGAAGAGCCCGCGGATTGTGGGCGTCTTCGCGGGCGCCCCGCCACGGAATGGCATCGGGCGCCGACTCGGGCCGCGGCGCGGTCAGAGGCTGGCGCGGGCGGCGGATTCAATGTCGGGAAGGCCTTGATCCCGGGCGCCCACCGGGCGCGCCTGCGCCCGCGGGCGAAAAGGGAGATGTCCATCAACCGCCCAGGCTAGGAGGCCGCGGGCGGCGGGGCCAGCCAGCTCTCGAGAACGACGCGCCACGCGCGCGATGGAGCCGACGGGCGGGGCAAATTCTACCAGGGAAACTGTTGGAGACCAAGTGCGTCGCGGGCGCGCCATGCCCCTTTACTTCCAGCAGCCGCAGCGATTCGTCAGGGGGCCGCGCGCGGAGATGACTTCGCCCGACGGCGAGGCGCCCGAGCCGAGGAAGCGCGCGCTGGAGGCCGAGCCGAGGATGCGCGCGATCGTTCGGGGGCGGGCTCTTCTCGGACAGGATGCCACGGACGACAAGCGCGCGGCGATCCTTGATCGGCCGGCCCCCCGCGCGAGCGCAACGGGCCCGGCTGTCTATCTCTATCCCAGCCCCGCGCCGGGGCGCGCTGAGATCATCGAACGCCAGCTCGGCTCGAGTGGCCACCGCGCCGACTGGGAGGGGGGCGACCTACAGCGACGAGGCCCCGCTGAAGGCGAGAACGAACGCGATGCGCACCGGCCCCCGCGCACGCGACTGAGCATCGCGGCGCTCGACGCTTGCCGCCATCATCGCGCGGCCAACAGGTTCGCAAATTCACGTCGGTCCCGCCGCCGGGGGGGCCAGCGCGGCAAGGCGCGCGCGGCACTTGGCAGAGCGGCGTATTTAGTACGGAGAGGGGCAAGTCTCACTGCAGGGATCTCGGCAATGAGCTCAAAACAACGCCTGGACTCGACGGCGTCAAAAGCGTCGGGCCGCCGACGAGTGGGAGATGAACGGCACTTGCCCCCCCCGCTGTCGCGGGCCCAGCAGAAGTGGGCTCAAAGGGGGCTCGATATGAAGGAGGTGCCCGGCAAGTCGAGCAGGGCCTTGGGCGCCAAGAAGTTCGCGCGCACTGTCGCGAAGAAGCGTTTTACGGCGCGCGGCTACTTCTTCACTCGAGGAAGCCACCCTCGCGCCATTGCAGCCCAGCTGAAATCAGGGAGTGGTGAAGTCATTGGCTTGAGTGGGTGCGGTGGCGACCGCTACCCGGCGAGCGGAGCGCTGATCGGAGGTCAGCGGCGAGGAGATTGGCGCAATTGCGAGATGGCTATGCTGGCCGGAATTTTCGGAACGCGAGTCGATGACGGTGCTCGCAGACCCCGTCTTCCACGATTTGGGCATCCCGCAATGACGAGACGGACGGCGCGGGCGAGCCACGCCAGGCGAGTGGCCCCGGCTCGAGGAGGGCGACTCAGGTATGTTGTTTGGTCCGTCCGATCCCATAGCCACGTTTGATTAATATCTATATATATATATATACATGCATACAGACATATATATATATATATAAGGAGGGAAGACGGGCGGGCGGGGAGTGGGAGGCGGAGCGATAGCAGCAGTAGGTACAGGGTCGGCGGATGGAAGGCCACCCCCCACCACAGTGGCGGACCGACGACCGACAGACAGACAGACAAACAGACAGACAGACAGAGACAGACGGACAGACGGACAGACGGACAGACTGACAGAGACAGGCAGGCAGGCAGGCAGACAGACAGACAGACAGACTCTGCCCTCGAAGTCTTTCCGCACAGTAGCATTAGCAAGGAGGCGCGCGAGCGCGCCTCCGACTCAAACACAGCAGCGACTGGCGCCTACCCCAGGATAGTTCCCGCACCATGATTTTTCCCAACGGATGTGTTCGCACGCCCCCGAAACGACGCCCCGGCAGCTCGGCGCCCGCCCGCCGCCGCCCTCCAGCCCCCAGCTAGCACAGCGCGTCGCCGAAACCCGGCGGCCTTGCGTCAATGTGTGGCACTGCCGCGGGGGAGCGTTCGGGCCAGCGCAGCAGGCAGCCGCGCGCTGCAGCTCCCCGCGGCCCGCCGCGCCGCGCCAGGTTGGCAAGGCGGCCCGCGGCAGCGCCGCAGAAAACCGCCCCCAAAGGAGCGCGTCGCCGTCATCCCCAGCGCCCCGCCGCCGCCAACGGAGCCTCAAGAGCCGCGGTCGCCGCCTCGCGCCGCAGTCGCCGCCGATTCCTTGGCGCCGGCGCGCTTTCGCCAACGCCAACGGAGCCTCAGGGGCCGCCGGCGCTGCAGCGCCAGCTGCCCTGGCGCCTGCGCATCGCCCGCCGTCGCCTCAGCGAAAGCACAGGGGCGCGCGCAATTGGCGCGCCAGCTCGCCATGCAAACCCACAGGAGAGCACGCGGTGCGCGCGGGCGAGTTCGCGGGCTTGTTCGCCGTCGGGCAAGCGGCACGCCTCAGCCTTGAACCAGGCAGAGACAGACAGACAGGCAGGCAGGCAGACAGACAGACAGACTGACAGACAGGCAGGCAGACAGAGAGACAGGCAGACAGACAAACAGTCAGGCAGACGGCGGCCCGCCAGGAGCCCTCCGACGACGCTGACGGGAAGGGCGCCGCCTGACCCACTCCTGCCCGCCGGCCTGGGCCCTGCAGCGGCGGCGGCGCAGCGGGGATCAGGGGTAGCGTGAGGGGGGGAGGGAGGGTGGGCTCGAGTTTTGAGGCTAGGTCTAGGTTTGAGGTGTTCGGGCGTTTTCGCCTTTTTTTCTGCGTGCTCGGCGGTTTTCTGCCTCGGGATGCGTTCCACCAGGTGTGCGGATCGTCCCGAGCTGCCGATGGAGGCCCGAGCTATGGTCCGACTCGGGGGGGGGGTGAAGGGGAACGCATCTCGGGCAAAGTGAACTATGCACATGCACCGATCCTGGCAAGGCCCATCCTTGACCCAGGATCGGTGCATATGCCTTCCTGGCCAAGGTAGGAGGGTGTATGCACCGATCCTGGGCTCAGGATGGGCCTGGCCAGAAGCGGCGTATGTGCATAGTTCTTTTTCCTCTAGCATCGACCTCCAATCGCCCGTTGATCACCGATTTCGGCCTCCTGGACAGGTGGGGGAGGGCATCGGCCGCCCACGACGGCGGGGCGCTGTCACTCGCGGGGCCCTGACATCCTCGCGCTGTGGAGGGCCAGAGAAGCACGAGGAGGAGGGGGATCGGAGATCGGGGAGGCGGCGGGGGGAGGAGGAGGGGCAGGGGGAGGGGCGGGGGGAGGGGGAGGAGGAGGGGGGAGAGGAGGAGAGGAGGAGGAGAGAGGAGAGGAGGAGAGGAGGAGGAGGAGGAGGAGGAGGTGAGGATTGAGGATCGAGGATCGAGGATCGAGGATCGGGCACCACCTCACACGCCCTGCAAACCCTGGACCCCGGCCGGATTGCACCGGTACAATTGCGGGGACTTTAATTTGCACGCGCTGCACGAGAGGCCCGAACGCCACCGCACACGACCCGCACGACAGGAGAGGGGGCGAGGAGGAAGAGGAGAAGGAGGAGGAGGAGGAGGAGGAGGAGGTTGAGGAGGAGGAGGAGGTTGAGGAGGAGGAGGAGGAGGAGGAGGAGGAGGAGGAGGAGGAGAGGGGAGGAGGACAAGGAAGAGGAAGGAGACGACCATCGCCAAACAAACAAGGGGCGACGCTAGAATGTACTGGCGAGAACGGCAATTGCCGCGAGGGTACTCTGCCACCCCGAATCGCGATTCAAAACTTGCAAAAGCCTCGAGACAATAACCGTGCCGTTTGGGGGCCTGGCAAGGAAACGGTATCATTAGTTTCTTGCGTGTTTCAACACGGAATGGCCCTTCAGGCCGCACCAGCGGGGTTCCCCCAGGGAGTGAAAAACGCTTGACGGGAAACAGACCCGGACACTCCCACACCAGGAGCCGCGAGTGGGAAGAGCGTGGGAAACGATCGCTGCGCCAGACGCGGGGAGAGACCACGCGGAGCGTGGACGCGGCCGTGGGGCGTGAGCCACCAGGCCCCGCCGTTAGGCGCGTGCGCCCAAGCCTTACAAAGGATGAGAGGGGAAGCCGAGGCGGAGCGCGAGAGGAGGAAGAGACTGCAGAGGGGGGAGGAGGAAGGAAGGGGAGGGAAGACGAAGCGGTGGGAGCACAGGGCCCGCCGCAAGCTGTTCTGGCGCCGCGGCCTCACCGAGGCGGCGCTCTCGGCTAATCCGAGGGCACGGCCACGGGCGCCGACCCAGCAGGTGACGTGGTCGACGTTGCTGGGGTGTCCGCGCCTGAACTCCTCGTCTGGGTCGTGATAGGTATCGTCCTCACCAGCGACCTCCTGGGCGTGGCTGGGCAGGCGGCGCCGGATCATCCGAGCCGCTCGCTTCCAGAGTTAAGTGGAGATCCGGCAACAGATCCGGCGCTCCTCCACGTTCGTTTCGGTGCCCTTGCGCCGGGCCACGTGGCGAGCCAGGCTCGACACGAGCTGCTTGGCCTGCGGGTGTGGGCGTCCAAAGTAACTGAACGTGATTGGTCGGTAGCCGACGCCCGCCGCGCCCAACTCGCGCACATGAGGCGCGAGCCGATGAACCTTGCGACAACGCATCGCCTCGCAACAAGCCGTGCCGGCGCCGCGTGCCGCAGGGGCCGCAATCCCCACGTCCAGAGCCGCAAGGCGCGCTGTGAGGCCAGAAGCGCCTGTGAGAGCATCTGCAGCATATTTTGCGCGCGTCTCGAACAGGAGCGTCTCCGAGGCCGCCAGTCATGCTCCATGCAGCACGCAGCTGCTGAAACACCGAATTTCGTGATTTGGAAGACTGGGGAGGGCCGACGACCAGGACATTATCAGAGAGCTGACCCTGCAACCAGGACAACTTTGCCCGCTGCGGCGGAACTCCATACGAGGAGGGGCTGGCCGAGGAGCGATTGAGCCACGTGTTTACATTAGAAAATGTATAGCCATAGCTATTTTGGGTCCAGCGAGATGCTGTTCGATTGCGTACAACGTCGATGGCGGGAGTTCGTCGACAACCGCATCAACGAGTTCTGATGTTTGCTAGCCCTGGCAGGCACGCCCACGAATTAATCAATTCATGATCATAAATTGTGTTTCCGTTGTCCCCCTGCTGTTGTTGTTGTTTTCCCTCCGTTTCTTCTTTTCCTTGCAGCGCAAGTTGTGTTGAGTTTGTTTTCCCGCGCACTCACCGGACGGCGCACGGTTTGGGTGCGAGTGCGAGCGTCGGCAAGCGTCGATTCAGCGTCGATTCGCGAGGGCTCACAAGATAATGTGAGAGCCTCCCATGAGTTGCCTCCGAGCCCAAGAAGCTTCCCAGCCCTTCCAGGGGACCCCCCTGGCGTCGTTTCGAGGGGGCGGGCCCCTGCTTCGACCAAGAACCGATCGACACCACCCCTTTTACGACCCACTTCTGGTATCATTGCGCAAGCAGTGTCCCAAGCGCCCACCTACAACCCGTTGGCTCGCAGGTGTGTCGGGGTGTCAGAGATGGGCCGAATGTGGTCACAGGTGGCCAAGCGCCTGGACTTTCAACAAGTCCAGGTCGTAGGCAGGGTGGTGTCGCTTCAGTTCTGGTCCTCTGCCGCGCGGCCGCCAGTTTTCCGGCCGGAGCCCCAGCCGCAGTCCCGCTCTTCGGGAAGCGTGCGTCTGGTCGGAGCAAAAATGGACACGTTTCCGCCGCACCCGCCGGGCACCGCGGGGCCGTACCCTCGCCGCGAGCGGTTCGACACAACACGGCACAAGCGCACAAAGAGGATGAGCAAGTTTCCAATGTTAATTTTGCAGCCTTGCCCATTCGGCCGAGTCTTGGCGAGTGTCGCTGGCCAGCCCCACTCGAACAGTGTCGGCATGGTCTTCCAAGGCCCTTGCATCCTTATCGCACATCTTATTGTACGTCTTCGCTGTACGACTGGAGTGGTACAAAAAGAATGGGTACGAAGACCGGTTCTCGGCGGTTTTCCAGCCTCGTGACGCTCTCCATCATATGCGCCTCGTCGAGAGCATTCCAGGAGTGGTTGGATCGCCCCGAACGGCCGCCAGAAAACCGAATGAGGGCTCAAAAACCAGCAAGGAATACGTAGGCCTCCCGAATGGGTTCGGACCACATGGGGGCGGAGGATTGCGCCGCATCGCCGATGCATCAGCGATGCGGCTCGATGCGGAGCTCGATTTTTTTCACGCCGACGTCGCCGATGCATCGCCGATGCATCGGTGATGCGGCTCGATGCAGAGCCCGATTTTCTCGACGCCGACGTCGCCGATGCATCATCGATGCATCGGCGTTGTGGTGCAATAATCCGACACCACGTACTCCCAGCCCATCTGGGTGACCTGTAACATCCTGTCCTGTTTGGACAGGACTCGCTGTCGGTGTCGCCGCGGGCGTTGTCCATTTGAGACAGACGGCCGCCTGCCCAAACGCTCCCCCAACAGCTGCCGCTGTCAGTTTTAAATCACATTTATTGTTTGGCATCGTACCCATTCTTTCCGTATTCATTCTGGGCGTCCAAACCTGGTCCAACCGGGGCAGGCCTTTGCGCCCAAGAGCGCGCGGATTCGCTGTCCAGAGGCATGTCGCCGATCCATCGGCGATGCATCGCTGCATCCAACTCGAGGTCCCCCCCCCGAGCCCGTGCTCCCCTGCCGTTCCCGTTCTCCCTCAGCAAGGAACGGCCGACCGCCTCACGAGGGGCAAGCCTTCTTCCGTCGCCCCCCCCCCACGCGGGCCCCGCCCCTCCGCCCCGAAAGCCTTTACCTTGGCATCGAGGCGTCGCGAAGGAATCACGACGGGCGTTGGGCCCCCTTGCGGGGCCCCAGGTGAGATCTGTGCGCCTCGGAAAACCATCATGTGAAGGGAGGGTTGAGAACTCCAGCCGTGTTTTTTTCGCAACGAGGCCATTTCTGTTGCCACGTCGAACTCGGAGTCCCCCTCATGCGTAATTCGGCGGACGCCTCCGCCACTATGTTGTTATCGTTGACCTGAAGAGGTCGGGACCCTTTCTGGCAGCCAGGGCTCGAAGAGAACATATTCAGAATGGCAGTACGGATGCCCATGTTGGCCTGCAGACAGCGGGGAGTGGTGAGCGAGAGAAGGTGAGTAATTCTGGCCGCTGAACGCCACCCCATCGAGCAAGCTTGTTCCCAACCATCCTATGGTGTTGGGCACTCGTTTTGAAGAGACGGTCCCCGCGTTCCTCCTCTCCTTCTCCTCCTCCTCCCCCATCCTCCTCTTCCCACCTCCCGTCACACCCCTCGCTTTGGCACACCCCTCACACGTTTCGTGGCCCCATAAGGAGCTCCACCGAAGGCCCCACTGCTACCGCCCACATGCGTTCCCGCACCCATTTCGGTACACCCGTCACACGTCACAGAGGGCTCCACCGAAGGCCCCAGTGTTACCGTCCACATGCGTCCCCCACACCCATTTCGACATCCCCCTCACACGTTTCGTGGCCTCATAGGGAGCTCCACCGAAGGCCGCAGTGGCAGCGCCCGCATGCGGTTCCACCCTCATGCCGGCGCACCACTCACACAGTTCGGGGCCCCACTGGGAGCTCCACCGAAAGCTCTAGTGGCAGCACCAGCATGCGGTTCCACCCACATTTCGGCGAACCCTCACACGTTTCGTGGCCCCGTTGGGAGCTCCACCTCAAGCCCCGTTGGCAGCGCCCGCATGCGGTTCCACTACCATTTCGGTGCACCTCTCACGCGTTTCATGGGCCCATAAGGAGCTCCGCCTCAGGCCTCAGTGGCAATGCTGTTCCACCTTCCATTTCGGCGATCCCTTCACACGGTTCGTGGCCCCGCAAGGAGCTCCGCCGAAGGCCGCAGCGGCAGCGCCCGCATGCGGTTCCGCTACCCATGTTGGCACACCCCTCACGCGCTTCGTGGCCCCATGAGGAGCTCCATCTCAAGCCCCAACGGCAGCGCCCGCATGGGGTTCCACCCCCATGTTGGCACACCCCTCACCGAAGGCCCCAGTGTTACCGTCCACATGCGTCCCCCACACCCATTTCGACATCCCCCTCACACGTTTCGTGGCCCCATAGGGAGTTCAGGGAGCTCCACCGAATGCCCCAGCGCCACCGTCCACATGCGTCCCCCACACCCATTTCGGCACCCCCCTCACACGTTTCGTGGCCCCATAGGGGATTCCACCGAAGGCCACAGTGTTACCGTCCACATGCGTCCCCCACACCCATTTCGACATCCTCCTCACATTTCGTGGCCCCAGAAGGAGTTCCACCGAAGGCACCAGTGCCACCGTCCACATGCGTCCCCCACACCGATTTCGGCACACCCCTCACACGCTTCGTGGCCCCATCAGGATCTCCACGGAAAAAGATATTCACAAATGCATATGGTTGGGTCCTTCGCCAGGCTAAGTTTCGTGTTCTCCTTCCCGCATGCCGCAGCGGCTTCCCCTGTGAGGTTTTTTCCAGATCCTCCGAATTGTTCACTACGGTGTCCCACCAAGTTTTTTGATTTTAAAACAAGGCCCGAGGGCTCGTGGACACTCCTGTTAGGACCCCTGGAGCCACTCGAAACATTTGAAAGCTCTCCTCGTCCTCATCCTCTCTCCCTCTCCTCCTCCTCCTCCTCCTCCTCCTCCTCCTCCTCCTCCTCCTCCTCCTCCTCCTCCTCCTCCTCCTCCAGTGCTCCGCTGCAGCACCGCTCAACGATGTGTTGTTGCCGATCCTCTCAGGTTGGGCCTTTGGCGCGACTCCGCCTTGACCGGCTTCTGTCCCGTTGGTCACCGTGCTGGCGTGCTTGTTTGTCTCAGGTGTTTTTCTTCCCTTATCCTTGGAGCTGGCCTTACCCGCACGGGTGCACCCATGCGGGGCAGACATCTCGAAGCGCGTGACTCAGGGTTGCCCAGGGAGAAGGTGGCAGGAGGGGGAGAAAGGGAGGCGGAGGATGGTGGAAAGGAGTAGGCAGAGTAGGAGAAGGGAGGCGGAAGGGGGAAAGAGTAGGCGGAAAAGGGATGAGGGCCAGAGGGAGGAGGACGCAGGAGGAGGAGGAGGCGGAGAAGTAGAGGAGGGAGGGAAGGGCAGGGGGGGCAGGGAGCAGGAGCAGGCTGAGGAGGAGGAAGAATAGTGAAGAGAGCGAGGGTCGAAAGAAGCAATCGACGAGCGAGTAGCAAAAAAAATGCCTGGCGAAGGACCCAATCATGTGCAGTTGTGCGTACCGTCGTTGTAAGCATCGCCTTTGGTGGATCTCCTCATGGGGCTACGAAGCGCGTGAAGTGAAGGTGTCGAAATGTGGCGGGGCCGCCATGCGGGCGCTGCCACTGGCGCCTTCGAGAGTCCCGGGGGCGGGGGGGGGGCAAACAACAGGGGCCACTGGGGCATTCGGTGGAGCACCCGATGGGGCCGCGAAACGTGTGGGAGGTCCGCCGAAATGGGGGCGGAACCGCATGCGGGCGCTGCCACTGGAGGTGGAGCTCCCAAGACCATGAAACGCGGGAGAGGTGATCCGAAATGGAGGTGGAAGCGCATGCGAGCGCTGCCAACGAGGCTTGAGGTTGAGCTCCTTATCGGGGCCACGAAACGTGTGAGGGGTGTGCCAACATGGGGGTGGAACCCCATGCGGGCGCTGCCGTTGGGGCTTGAGATGGAGCTCCTCATGGGGCCACGAAGCGCGTGAGGGGTGTGCCAACATGGGTAGCGGAACCGCATGCGGGCGCTGCCGCTGCGGCCTTCGGCGGAGCTCCTTGCGGGGCCACGAACCGTGTGAAGGGATCGCCGAAATGGAAGGTGGAACAGCATTGCCACTGAGGCCTGAGGCGGAGCTCCTTATGGGCCCATGAAACGCGTGAGAGGTGCACCGAAATGGTAGTGGAACCGCATGCGGGCGCTGCCAACGGGGCTTGAGGTGGAGCTCCCAACGGGGCCACGAAACGTGTGAGGGTTCGCCGAAATGTGGGTGGCACCGCATGCTGGTGCTGCCACTAGAGCTTTCGGTGGAGCTCCCAGTGGGGCCCCGAACTGTGTGAGTGGTGCGCCGACATGAGGGTGGAACCGCATGCGGGCGCTGCCATTGCGGCCTTCGGTGGAGCTCCCTATGGGGTCACGAACCGTGTGAGGGGTGTGCCGAGATGGGCGTGGAGCCGCATGTGGGTTCTGCCACTGGGGCTTTCGGTGAAGCTCCCTATGGGGCCACGAACCGTGTCAGGGGTGTGTCGACAAGGGGGTGGAACCGCATGCGGGCGTTGCCACTGGGGCCTTCGGTAGAGCTCCACCGAAACGGAGGGTGGAACCGCATGCGGGCGCTACGGTGGAGTCCCATACGGGGCAACAACACGTGTGAGGGGTTCGCCGAAATGTGGGGGGAACCGCATGCGGGCGTTGCCACTCGGGCTCTCGGTGTAGCTCCCAATGGGGGCACGAAACATGTGAGGGGGCACCGACAGGGGGGTGGACTCGCATGTGGGCGCTGTCACTGGGGCCTCCGGTGGAGCTCCCTATCGGGCCACGAAACGTGTGAGGGATGTGGGTGGAACCGAATGCGGCACCTGCCACTCGGGCCTTCGATGGAGCTTCCTATTTGGTAAGACAAGTGGACATGCGGAGGGCTGAGGCAGCGACGAGAGGAGGCTTTCTTTCCATGCAGGCCAACCGTCAATGCCAGCGGGCCCTGAAGACGAATTAGCCTGGCG